ATGCCTAAAGCGCCCTCCTGGAGAATACTGGATGTACACTGAGGATGAAGCAGCAAGTGCTACGGTGGCCCCCAGGAACAACTGATACCCCAAACACTTTGGTTCCTAAAACACTGCAGCTGGAGGAAACCCTAAAACAAAGGTTACAATGTCTTTGCCTTCTTGTTAGGAGAGTCACAAAAATAAAGGTCAACTAAACTATAGTAAATGAAGAATCCCCAAAACAAAACATTTTATTCACACTTACCAAATTCGGTCCACAAGGCACTTCCTGGCATTGCTGTCCAACTATGTATCTGCCCTCCAGACACAATACAGTACTGGAATTAGCAAATTTCCAACCAGTGCCAAATAAAGCAGGCAAAGGAAGACCTCATGGGCTGACCACACTCCACGTGCTGTACTTAAAGTGCTTACCCGGCCGACCAGTACGGTGGCACAAGGCCCGTATTCCCAGCTACTCAGGAGGCAGAATTTGGAGGATTGTGATTCGAGGTCAGCCTGGGCAAAAGACATTAATGCATCTCAACAAATAAGCCTGGCGTGGCAGTGTGTGCCTGTGATCTCAGCTGGGCGGGAGATAGGACAATCCTGGTTCCCAGGCCCATCCTGGACAAAAGTACAAGACCCTATCTGAAAAACAACTGAAGCCCAAGAGGGATGGGGCATGGCTCAAGCGGCAGAAGGCTTGCCTAGCAAGCCCAAGGCCCTGAGTTCAAACCCCAGTGCTGCATCCCCTACCCAGAAACTGCTCAGCCTTCCTCTTGCCCTTCACTCTTCCCATTGGTACAAAACGCAGTCCTTCCACAAGTGTTTACAAAGTTTTTATTGGTTACAATTATATAAAATGTGTCATTAAAATAATTCTCCCTTAATGATTAGGTGTCTGTAGTCATAACATAAAACATCTTTTTTTATACAGCTGACAAGGACATATTTCCATGCTAGCAGAGAAAGGTAGCGACCTCTCCTATAACCAGATTCTCTCTCTGTCTCTCTGAAGGCTCTATTAGTTAAAATCAATGAACAGCCTCTTTTGTATGTCAAACTGTAAAGTTTAATGTGTTCATTAGAATAATCTTTTGTAGCACTCTTCAACAAGAATAAAATAACTAACAGCAAACTTCAATACAAGACACTCTCCAGATTAACAATGCAAACAAAAATGAAAACGTAAATCACGTATGATACAATTGAAGCATCCAAAACAATTTAAATAATTTTAAATAGTTTATTTTTAAACCGCTACAAATGCATTTGATACAATATTTCAACATGAAGTCCCCATAACAGAAATGTAACAAAATGGGAATGACAGTGAAAGAGTTAAAGTGGCACAAGTTCACCAAATAAGCATTCAACTACAATCTTTAAGAGGTAGATTACTTTTGAAGTTGATAACAAAAACAGTATGAATAAAATGCAGGCATTTTCCACCAACTCTGTCATTAATTTTTGGGGGAGCAGGGGAGAAGCATAAAAACGCATAGAGAATGATACTGCTACACATAAGAGGCCAATTTGTTGCTTTTAATCTCTGCTAGAGACTTGCGTGAGCCTGGGATGTGCACTGATTTATACTTACGCGTGGACTATCCAGGCCTGCAGAGCACTCTGTGTATTGACATACCGCTACATCATCTCTCATAATACAATAGCTATAAATTAGTGCCAGATAACAATCTGAGAGGATAATGTCCATTTGGATATATACAAGACATTAGGCATAAAGAGGCATAAGAGTCCATATCCAATGTGGTTTCCTCTCCATTATGCTGGCAATCTGCTTATGATTTTTAAAAAGGGGTGAGGGAAGGATGGGAAGAGATCAGCCCAGTGCCTCTCTCTCTCTCTTTCTCTCTGTAATTCACATTAACAGAAAGGCCATCAAGAGCTGGTGTGTGAAAGAACGTTTTAAACTGAGTGCATCATGTCTGTTATCCCTGAAATCTACAATCAACTGCTGATAGAGAACTTGCTTTGCAAGGTTCAATTCAAGCATTCCCTTCTCTATGTGCCAAACACACCCGGGGCCACACTGAGACCTGAGTCCTAGTCCCGACGAGGAGCCTGTGTGGCTAGCCCGTCTCACAGTGCCCTTCTCTTTGGATCTCAGTTCCCTGGGAGCCCAGCTTGCGTGTGGGCACCAGTGAAGAAGCAGATGCCTGACTCTAACCAGGGCAACAAGGAGCCTGGCGGCAAGCAGCTGTATGTTACAGCTTTTGAGTCAGCTTCAAATGGTCTTGCAAGGTTGGTAGATTTCATATCCTTTGCCGTAGTGCTTATCCTAAGTTGAGCATGCAATATCTTTTAGTCAATTAAGGGCTGTTTTGTTTGGGGGGCTTTTCTACAGGAAGTTCCTAGAAAATAAGAAAACTGAAGATAAATGACAACATAACACAATCGTACATGAATTGACCATGTTAAAAGAAAAAGGTGAAGGGACCATAAGACAAATGTTATCAAGACAAACATAAATGACTCTGAAGGCATTTGCATTTGGAACTCAGTGTCCTACTCCAAAGCCGCAGGCCAGGATAATTATGGCAGGCTCGTTTCTCAGGGTCATTTCCAAGCCATGTGGCAGAGATGTGTGAGGGGAAGCGAGCGCTGTACTTCAACTCATAAAGAGGGATCTGGTCTGGCATTTTGTCTGGCTTTTCTACCTTTCAGTTTTCTGGACTAGTTGCAGTCTGCTTCTGTAAACCCTTAACGGCACAAAGGCTGGTGGCTCCTGGAAGTGATCAACTGACAAAGTCCACAAAGCCCTCTGTTAAATGGCAAACTAGCTACAACCACATACTGGAGGTGGGCAGGCCTTCAGCTGGCTTTCAAATGAGGTGGGTTGTTATTTAAAAAAAAAAAAAAGCAGGAAAAGGATATACTGCTAGTTTTAGGACAAGAGCCCAGCATGCCCATGGAGGGAGGGAGAGTTAGGTCTTGGTTTACAGCAGGTGTTCTGCATCACAAAACCATCTCTGAACTGAATTTGTACGTGGAAACATTCTGAAGCAAAAAGACAACTAGAAGGTAAACCACTCCATACCAGTTAACACAACAAACATGTGGAGATGAGGCCTAATCTGTGTCAGCTGGGATGATGAGTTATCAACATCCAGCATACAGATGCCCCAGCTTTGAGGTCAGGAATCCCAGATTTGTACAAAGTACTAGGACAACCCAAGTAAGCTCTGAAGAAATGCCCACCACTCTCATGCCCAATCAAAATAGGATGTTCTCTTGGACACGTGCTTTTCAACTCCTCAAAGCACTTTACAAGGTTACTGGGTAAGTGCCCTGGTCCCTGGGTAGCAGCCATGGTCCCACAGCTATGACCCCAGCACAGCTCCAGTGCCTCACAAGGGACAAACAGCCAGAAGGGTGACTGCTGCCACCATCTATCTACCAACCAGTTGGCACATTACCTTATTTTCTTATCTATCTTTTCAGTCCAAATTTGACTCAAGCAATGTAATCCTCTAACTATGAAGCAAAGCAAAACAATTAACATTAGAATAAAGGAGGGAGAAACACTTCTTAAGGCACGCTAGCCCTTAGCAACTTTAAGGGCTCTTTGAACTAAGTACTATGAAAGAGTGAACAAACTTCACAAATGAGAGTCATTTCTTGACAGCTTTTCTTATCAACTTTATCCCTAAACTCTCACTGTGCTGCTGGCAGAGAACCTCTATGACACAGGCTGAGCCCATGCAGGTACACAGATCCATCAGGCAATTCCAAGGCACACCAATCTATGGGTCGCCTTGGTCATGTGATGAGACCCACTGCATGTTCCTGAAGAACTGGCTCCTTCACTTCCCCAGGGAACCACCAGTGAATGTTCCTGATGTCTTCAGCCCTACTACAAAGCACATCAGCTTCAAGAATTCTATGCAGTAATCACCTCACCTCTGTGTTTCATGCCTTCTCTAAGAGGCCACTCCAGTTAGTCCTTATTCTGTCTGCTTTACAACTCTGAAAATTGTAGCTATGAAAGCCCAGGGTCAGGTCAGGCTACATATTCTGGAAAGAGAAGATTTGAAAGCATTTGCAGAAATGCCATTTGATGACAAATGAGAGAGCTTCACAAGAAACTGATCTACAGGCATTATTTGGGAACCAGCAAGAATTCTAGGAATGCACATCAACTCAGGGTAAGTGGCTCAGAAACCTCTAGAAGTCAATGTCACAAACTTAACTAAGGCCACATCTTTCTATCTGTCCCTGAGAACAGTTCTCAATGTGGGAAGAGCATGGAATAAGGCAGAAAAGTCAGCTCAAATCTGAGATGAGTCATTAAACTCACTACTGGTGAAAAGGCACTAACAAACAACCTGCCCTGGTCACCACAGGCCTAAAAGAGTTGGGGGGGAGGGGGGAATGGGGAGCTGGGAAAAAGGGGTCCCTTCCTATAGCTCTAAGCACTCTCTCTTCTCTTCACCTTTGGAACCTGGCTCACTGATCAATCACCCCATGGCTAGAGGCAGGGAAGGGAAGACCATAAGGCATTTATAGAAATACAGTGTTTTTTTTTTTTTTTACCAACATGGCAAGTGCTTAAAATTCAAACTATTAGTGAGAGAAAGCATCAATATTAAAAGTACCAGTTTATTATTGCTAACTATGTGGAAATCATAGCTACTACCCAAGACCAGTTTGCTAATGACCTCACTCACATTCCACCTCAACCGAAGACATGATCTATGATCAGGAAATAATACAAGTGACTGAGATAATATCCAAGATATAAACCAAGTGTGAGAAACCTTGTCTTTTCACATGGGGTATTTTCAAGGGCTTTCCCATGGATTCAAACTCAAAGAAATGGTACCACTTTTTGAGTCCTTGGTCTGAAATAACAAGTATTTATTTATTCATCTCTACAAGAGTCAAAGCAGTAACCATTCATGCCTAGAGCTTGTCAAAATCTTGCAGGAGAAGAGTTAAACCAGAACACCATTTCCTGCACCATCCTTACCTCCCCCGAGCTCCGGGCTTACCTGAAGTCCTTCAGCTCGTGCCTGGCACTGCTGTCCTCACTCCTGTTCTCACTCAGATCCGCAGCAGCTGCCAGCTGAAGGCTTCGGGTAATCGGGCCCCCACTCCGTTCTCTAGATTTTACATTGAACCGGTCTGTTCTCTTCTTACTTGTCAGAGCAGACTTACTCTGCAAAACAGCTTTGCTTTTCTGTACCCTCACATGCAGGGTCCGGGACGGTTTGCTTGAGAGCTGAGCAGAATGGTTCTTGGCCACAGCTTTGGATTTCCTGCCCTCCATGTGGGTCATTTTGGCCATTCTTACAGGGCTGGAGTTTCTTAAAGAGGAGTTTGTTTTTTTGGCCTTGACCGAAGCTGCAAACTTGACATTCTGCTTGGACCTGAAGGACGAGGAGGGCAATGCGACTTGTCCAGGACCTGAGCTGCGAGCTCTGGTCTTGCCCAGAGGTGCCTGCGTGCTCTGCATCTTGATCTCAGCATCTGCGGTCCGCCGGCGGTGGCTGCTGCTGTGATTCTTCTCCCCGCTTGCAGGAGAGGGGTGGCCACTTTTCTTGGAGGAGTGAGAAACTTTTCTTTTGGAAGGAGAAAGGGGCTTTTTGGGGCAGCTGAAAGCGGCATGCTTGTTCAGGCTGCCAATGTACGTGAACTCCCTGTTGCAGTAAGGGCAGATGTGTGAGGACGACTCCGCAGCATTTCTCAAGTCAGCCTTCTGCTTGGCAGATTTGTTTTTTTGAAGGATTGCTTTCTGGACAAGTTGATTTTTTTTCTTCAAGGCATTTAATTTCAGCTTGTTTGGTGACATTTTGCTGAGCTCCACACTGAAGTTCAGTCTTTTGGGCTGCCCCATTCTTCTGAAAGCATTTTTCCCAGGGCCGTCTGAAACTACCACTCCATTTTTGGGCTGCACAGTTTGTTTCAAAGGTACCGGGTTTTTCTTGGGGGTGTACCTCTTCTTGTCGCTGGCAGAGGCACATGCCAGGATGTGTTTGTGCAACTCAGGCATGTTGTCAACGCCTTTCCCGCATTTTGTGCAGCGGATGGCCGTGGTGAAAGTCTGCGGAATATTGTGGGTAGTAAAGTTTGTAGCTGTCACCCCAATACCCATGGGGTTTCGGTGATGGTACTGAAATGGAGGTGGCTTAAAGCTTGGGTAATGCTGATTCAGACCCAATCGAACATCTGGATCTTTTGTCTTTATTCCAGAAGCCATTATTTTTATGGTGGTGTAAAGCTCCTCAGAGGAATCATTTAATTCCTCTTCTTCTTTTGAAGGTTCCAGAGCATCTTCCGGCAAGCCCTGCATATGCTCCATGTGGGCCTTGCTGGGGTCTGTAAAGTTCTGGGGCCTTAAGGTCCCGCTTTCAAACTCATGGTGTGTACACACTTGGTCTGGGTGGAGATCTCGCTGGTGTTGCTGTAAATTGCACAAAAAAGCAAATTCTTTTTTACATACCGAACACACAAAGATATTCCCAACTCCATGAAGCATAAAGCGATGCTCTGATAAATCAGTTTTATCCTTAAAAAGCTGGACACAAAATTCACATTTGAAGGGCCATTCTTCAGCATGAATAGATAAATGCTTGGTTAGATCTTTAATGGAAAGAAAAGGTGATTCACAGACATTGCAAATGAAGTTTTTGCTGAATGTTTCCTGAATAACATCCTGTTCAACTGCAGGCTGGGGCTCTTCCCTGGGCTTCACACTTTCAGTCTCTAACTCCTCCTGTTTCAAAGTTATTGAAGGGAGAACAGCCTCCAGATTGTCCCCAGAGGAAACTACTGATGACACTGCTGACAGAGGGGGTGGTGAAGGGGAGGAGGAGGCAGGGGAAGACGAGAATGAGGAGGAGGAGGAAGAGGAAGCAGAGGAGGCAGAGGAGGAAGAAAGCTTAGGAGGTCCAGGTGAAGCAGCAGACACAAGTGGCTCCACAGGAGGAATGGGAGAGGGGGAAGGAGACACTGTTGGGGACAGAATTGGAAGGGGAGACTGGGCAGTGGCATTTGAGAGTGGAGAGGGACATGGGCGAGGAGAAGCATCGCAAGAGGGGGTAGGAAGAGGAACAGTAGGCAGCAGAGGAGGGGGCGGAGTGGCAACAGTTAACACAGGAGGGCAGGGTGGAGGGGAAGTGGGGTCCGTGGGGACCAAGAGAGGAGGCAGCTGAGAAGAAGACAGGGAAGTGGTCTGCAGGGTGGGTGATGAAGGACAAGCTTCAGGTGGGGACTCAACAGCAGGGGCAGAGAAGCTGGAGTCAGGACCCAGGTCAGGGTCTGGCTGGGCACCTAGGGATTTACAAGGACTCGGGCTCCTGGCCATGTCAGGAGCAGCTTCCCCGGGCACATCGATGCCATTGTACTCATTAAGCAGGACTTTCTGCAGCATGCATGTGGTTGGTTTCTTTTTCTTTCCAGAACTACAGGCTGGCGGTGCCAAATGGTTTTCTTTGAGTTCCTTGCCCTCGAGGTCAAGACAAGGCTTTTTATGCACACTGAGATCTAAGACAGCCTCCCACTGGACTGGGGTCTTGCCTGTGCCTTCCGTCTTCTGCTTGACGCCACTGGACAAATCCAGGGGCTGCTGGTTGCACACATTGCTGAAAGTGGAAGAGGCTGCCCACTCTTTTGATACTTTGTATTCTTCAAAGCAAGGAGGGCTCCCAGCTTCTCTCTCATCTCTTCCAGACAAACTCCAGGCAGGCGAGTCACCACGGCTTTCTAACCTGGGCTTCTTGGAAGATAGAACTGTGTCTGTCCATACCATCTTCCCATCGCTTGGCTTACCAAAGTCCCGAAGGGCAGGGCTGTGCTGCGGAGAGCTGGGTGGGGAGCTGGTCCGCCTCTTAAATCTACTGGAGGTCCCCGGTAACATGGATGCTGGCGTAGACACACACACAGGACCTAACTTAGGGATCTCAGTGGCTGAAACCCCTGCAGGAGGAGTCAGCTTGTCCTGGGTTTGGAGAAGCTGCTTGAGCTTTGATGACAAATACACACTCTTTTCTTTATGGAAAGACACTGCCTCAGTCGTTGCTACACTAAGAGGCAGAGTTAAGGAGCATGGCGGGGCCCCAGGCTCAGAATCCATTTCCGTTTTAATCTTGGGGAGCACTGGTGGACTGGCAGTCCTCCGTTTCTTGGACTCACAGTTTGTGCTGCTGGGAGGCTCCTTTGGAAGATCATCGGTTACTGGAACAGGGGCAGTCTTTATATTTTGAGTAATCTCTACCGTAACTGGAGTGAGAAGACAATTTATGCCATACAAGTCTGCTGAATTAGACTCCATCTCGATCACATCACAGTTACTAGTGCTGCTGTTGGTCTGAATCTTACCATCAATGTAGTAATTTAAGTTTTCAGAGATATTGCTAGAAATGTCCATGATGTATACATCATCGGCCTCTCCTTCCTCCTCTGGCTCGGTGCTTGGAACGTAGACATTCTGGGTAGGCTGGGCCTGTTCTGCCGGGGGCTGTGGCTCTTCTACAAAGCCTCCTTTCCGCCGGACACCTTTGGGAATCAGGTGGCGTTCATGAACTCTGCGTTGATGCCGTCTCATATTTGTATGAGTTCCAAAAACCTTCTTACAGTATTTGCATGGATGAAGTTCTTTCACTTCCCCATTCTCCTCTACAACGGACGAATTTACTGTTTCCTGGGAGGCATTCTCTGAGTTCAAGGTCAAACAGTCTTGCCCAAGTAGAGGATTTGACTCATCTTTAGGAAGAGCTTTTTCTCCAGAAACTCTGCCATCAGCCAGCTCTTCTGGTGGCTGTAGTATCAGGCTAGGTTTTCGTTTTAACCCTGCTTCATGGCGACGCTCGTGCCGCCTCCTGTTAATTTGTGTGCCAAATGCCTTCCCACAGTATTTGCACTTGAAAGCATGATTGACTGTAGACATGTGGATATGCATGTGACGCTCCAGTCCCTGCTTGGTTGTAAACTTCCTTTCACAATGCTGACAAGGAAACATGAAAGTGTCAAGCACATCTCCATTGGCCGCCTCCTCAGTTCTGGGGACTTTGGTAAGGGGTGGCACTTCCTCAGAGTCTTCAGAAGGTTCTTTTGAAATGGTTTTTGGTTCTTCTAACAAATCCTCTAGCTTCTCATCACACCGTATTTCTGGTTCTTTCTCAGAGCTTTCATTTGGCATGTCGGCTTCTTCTTCCCCATCTTCTTCCAGCTCATCATCCTCACCATCATCCTCCTCTTCCTCTTCCTCCTCCTCCTCTTCCACTTCCTCCACATCATCGATCTCACAATCTGTGGCTTGTTTCCCACCTGGCTCTGGTTGTGGCTCACTGGCAGGGAGAGGGCCAGCCAGCTCTGGAGGCAGGTCCTGACTGCCCACCTCTGGGATAAGAGCTGGCTCTTCAGGCACCGAAGCCAAAGGCCTCTCTTCCTCTTCTTCAGGACCTAGAAGATCCAAGGAAGCAGAATCAGAGGTGAAGGCAAAACTAGGTGTTAAGCGTAATTCCTCTGATTCTAGCTACTTCTCACCTAAAATGCCTGAGAATATAATGAACAATAACTTCTACTTTATGCAGTTCATCTATAAACCTTTCTTCCACTCACTGTACAAATCTGTATAGAGTATCTATTTTGTATCAGGCAACATTCTGGGCACACAGACATGGTGGACATTCTTTTCTGTATCAGATCACACACAAGTATCTTTCTTTTCGGAAATTGTAAACAGTAATATTCAGTAGTCAATATTACATTTAAAGAGACTATTTGTAAATTCCATTCCTCATCATGCACAGAAACTATTAAACTCATCACCAGGTTAGATTCTTGATAGCATGGATAGAGCAGATGATCCTCTCTCCCATTCCTGTATAAAACTATGTATTCAGAAACTAGACCACTTTCTAGGGCACATTATTAGAAGTTCCTCAGTCACAAAATTGAATCAAATTCTTAAGCAGGTCACTTCTAAGTTTCTATGCTCAGCCCCATCTGGGACAGACAGCTAGGCTGCAGGGGTCTCTAATAAGATGACAAGAGCCGGGCGACAGTGCTCATGCCTGTAATCCTAGCTACTCAGTAGGCTGAGATCTGAGGATTGTGGTTTGAAGCCACAGGAAGGTCCGTGAGACTCTTCCAATTAGCCAACAAAGACCAGAAGTGGTACTGTGGCTCAAAGTGGTGGCAGAGCACTAGCCTAACACTCAGGGACAGCAGCCAGGCCCTGAGTTCAAGCCCTACAACTGACCCCCCCCCCCCCCCAAACAACCTAAGAAGCCATGCAAAGATCAAGGAAAACAGTAAACATACAAGCTCTGAGTCAAAAGGTTGTGAGACAGGTTCAAGGAAGGACTGGGAAAGGAGCAGAAGAGGCTAGAATGGTAACCAGGGGCCTAGTTACCTCTACCTGCTAACACAAGTCATCACAAGCTGGCCTTAACACCTTGTGTCAATAGGGATCTACCAGAAGAATCTAACAGACAAGTAAAATGACTGTAGTCAAGAGAATCGTGTTGGCTGCCATGAGGAAGAAGAACAACTAGAGGTGGCCATGGGAGGAGGCAGGCAACAAGAAGAACAGTGTGAATTCCAGAAGGGCAGGGTGGTGACATGCTGTTGAAGAGTGGGGAAAGGTGGTGCAAGTAGTCAGAATGTGGACATAGACTTTGGACATGAAACTGATGACACTTGCTGACACACTGGCCATGTGAGCTACTGGAACCAAGCAAGGACTGAACAAAAACCTACAGTAATCCTGCTTACCACACCAAAGGGCTGCAGGACAAGCAGATGTGGTCTATGTACTCATGAATGCGGTGGAGGTGGGCAGAGGACCAAAAAGGAATAGCTGCTGCAAACTCTGAAAACAAGTTCAGTATCATCCCAGCCCTCTTGCTACGTCCTTGGAATACAGGCCTCACTTTTTTGCTAGTACTTGTAGCCCACCACTACACTGACTAGTAATGAGGCTCTTGTTTCTAAATAGAACCAGCTTTCTCTCCCCTAGACAAATTTCAGAAATTCTAAGAGCTTTCCACAAACTGGGAAACTCATTCAATTTCAAATTAGGTCTCTTCTCAAATGTATTTTCAACAAATACCTAGAATATTGTTTCAATTATCAACACAAAAAGACAAAAAAAATGTACTTCTAGGATTCAGGAATCACTTCCTAAAGTTCATTTTCGATCACTATCTGTGACTTACTCAGATTAAAAAAGAGACTCTGAGAGATTGCTTTTCCCTATGATTGGCAACAACCCAATTTAAAACTGTCAGAAGTTATAGGAACCTAAATATGCACAGTTCCAGTAACTCTAATGCCCACACCAAGGCATGTCTACACACTTGATGTGGTGTGCTGAGACCTAAACATAAAGAGATGTGAGGGGAACACAAAGCGTAGTCTCAATCATTTGCTTATCATGTAAACTGTTTGCTGAGAAGAATGTAAAGAATCCAGGGGACCCCCAACTACACTGTTCAGGACCAACCTCATTCTGATCAGACACATCTCCCTAATTTTTGTATCAATAGACTCAATATAGTGGTTCAATTGCAGCAAGCAAACTGCTTCACTGATTCAATACCTGCCTCTAAGAATTATTACATTATCAAAGGTCTAGAATATTAATGCTCAAAGGGACTAAAAGAACATTTTGTAGAGACATACAGAGATAAAAATAACAAAAGACGCTTTTCCACCCTCGGCCTCAGACCCTGAAGCCGCCGTGATGTTGATGCCCAAGAAAAACCGGATTGCCATTTATGAACTCTTTTTTAAGGAGGGGGTTACGGTGGCCAAGAAGGATGTCCACATGCCCAAGCACCCAGAACTGGCAGACAAGAATGTGCCCAACCTTCATGTCATGAAGGCTATGCAGTCTCTCAAGTCTCAGGGCTACGTGAAGGAAGGGTTTGCCTGGAGGCATTTTTATTGGTACCTAAGCAATGAGGGTATCCAGTATCTCCACCTGCCTCCCGAGATTGTGCCTGCTACTTTGTGATGCAGCCCACCTGAGACTGGAAGGCCTCAGACAAAAGGTGTGGAGGGAGAGTGGCCTGCAAGACTCACAAGCTGACAGACACCTACAGACGGAGTGCTGTGCCCCCTGGTGCTGGCAAGAAAGCCAAGGCTGGGGCTGGTTCAGCAACTGAATTGCAGTTTAGAGGTGGATTTGGTCATGAATGTGGTCAGCCACCCCAGTAAAGATGGAGATTGTTTTGTGTTGAATAAACTTGTAGCCAGGAAAACAAAAACAAAAACAAAAACTTGCACTGTTTTATAAATGTCAAGTGTTTGATATTTTAAGCATTTATTTGAAGTATAAAGCATACGTTAAAGTGGACAAATTATAAAGTATATATAGCAAGGTAATTTTTATAAAATAAACGTGCCCATTTAGCCAGTGCACAGATCAGCAGTAGAACACTGCCAGTGTCCTGGAAGCCTCAGCCTTTCCTAGTCAGTCCTGCCTTCTGTCACCACAGATTTGTGTTGATAGCTGCACACTTCACTTTCTTTGGAAATGCAATCAAATAGGTTGTTTCATTTTATTTCAACAAGAGAATAAGTTCATGTTTAATGAAGATGCTCTTGGGTGATTTCTTGAAAGGTAAGATGTGGAAGATTTGGGTCACCATATTAAATGTAGGCAGTTTTGTTGGTTTGCTGTTTGATTCCTATATAGCTCTTGGACAATTCTCAGAAGAACAAGATAAGGCAACAACTAACTGGTTGTACATACCCAAATCAGACAAGTCCTGCATCATGAGCTTACCTTCCTCAGAGTCTCTCATATTTGCACAGCTGGAATCTGGATCACTGGCTTTCAGCTGTATGTCGTGGGCTTTATTTCCTTTGTTTTTATTTTCCTGGGATTTTTTCTTCCCTGCAACACAACATTTATTTATTTGCTCACTCAGTTGTTATCACTCTGAATTCTGGAAGGAGATGATTATTAACCCAATCATGGTACATTGTGTATTTGTAGGAAATTATTATCATTTTGGATTCCAAAAGAAAAGAATGGATGATGAATATATTTTTAAGCCAAGTCTTGGGAATTCGTTTCCTTCATAGTTACAGTACCCATCAAGTTAATAATCCTATACAAGTAACAGACACACAAGAGCATATTGGAGAAAAACAATATAGTATAACTTGGGAGCCCTTTTGGTTAAGACATAACTATTACTGTCAAAGCACAATAAGAGAAGAGATTCCACAGAATTGTAAGGGATATGCACGCACACCGGTCAAGTATCAAACACAGGGTAATTATGAATAAATCACACGGGTCAGCATGTCTCTCAAAGGGCCCTATGGTTTTGACTAAGTCCAGCACAGTTCAGCATTTCACTAATGGTTGGAGGGATGAAGTTCAGGAAATACTAACTGCAGCATTTCAAGTCATTTCATACTTTAGGAACTGAGAAAATAAACTGAGGTCCAGAGAGAATGCAGTAAGGACATGAATTCATTACAGGCAGGTTCCAAAGCATAGGCATAACCCACAACTGCTACTCCGCCTTTGGCATATTTTTCCCTCCAAGAGCTGTTGTTCCTCTGTCTCAAGATGTAAGCAGATTCATACATCTTTCCTGGAACACTTCCTTTTCTCTAACTACTCTCCTCCACAGACCCCTACTGACACAATTGTCCCCCTTTTAGAAACAAGCCACTTTTATCACTGCATTAGCAAAATGAAAAACAAGAACCCATTTATAACTCCTGGAACATATGGAAAATTATATTCTCTACAACAGAGAATCATTAGAGGAACATGTCAAAAACAGATGACATAAAATAGCACCATCAAAAAAATAATAATTAGGACTGAGCCACATGCTGGTGGCTCATGCCTGTAATCTGTAGCTACTCAGGAGGCTGAGATCTGAGGATTACAGTTCAAAGCCAGACAAAACAGGAAAAGTGTATGAGACTCTTATCTCCAATTAACCACAAGAAAGAAAGAAAGAAAAAGAAAGAGAGAAAGAAAGAGAGAGAGAGAGAGAGAGAGAGAGAGAGAGAGAGAGAAAGAAAGAGAGAAAGGGGGGGGAGGGTGGGTGGGCTGGAAAGGTGGCTCAGTGGTAGAGTGCTTGCCTTGCATGCATGAGGCCCTGGGTTCAATTCCTCAGCACCACATAAACAGAACAAGCCAGAAGTGGTGCTGTAGCTCAAGTGGTAGAGCGCTAGCCTTGAGCTGAAGAGCTGAGGGACAGCACCCAGGCCCAGAGTTCAGGTCCCATGACCGACCAAAAAAAAAGAAAGAAAAAGAAAAGAAACCCAAAAAAAAAAGAAAAGAAAGAAAGCTGTAAGTGGAATTGTGCCTCAAGTGGCAGAGCACTAGCCTTGAGTGAAAAAGGAAGGGGTCAGTATGCCTAGGCCCTGAGTCCAAGCCCTAATATTAGCACACACACAACAAAGTTTTTAGTTTGGTTAGCTTCTGTCCCATCCTGTACCCTAAAACTACAGTATGTAAGGTTTCCCTGTAATTCCTATTAATAAGCCTGTTTTTGTCCACAGGTAGTCACTACAGCTTGGGTACACAAGCACACGCTTCACTAAAGCCACATCTGGTGCAAACAGGAAGGGGCACAGTGGAGGGCAATGGATACAGACTATTTCATGGCCCTGCATGGAGATAGGCATCCATCTGTTTAGATGAGAACCTCCCTTTGCCAAACTAGCAGCACTTAGCCTAAATCTGATGGCAAAAGAGGCTGTGGAAGGAGCCACTTGCATTGATGGGAAATCTGGGTTGTCTCTTGTTAACCAGCTTACTTGTCCCTACTATGACACATGCCCTTCCTGTGTGAGGCCATATTAGATTACTGATACCAAATACAGTGTTATCACCCACGCACATGCCAACAGAAATGACTATCTGCCTACACAGAATAACCTAATGCTCTTGGCACCACTGCTGTCTGAGAAAAGCCACGCTTCTTTCTTAACTGTGAAGCACCCTGGCCCAGCCCTTGACATGCTTCATTCAAAAGTTACATTGAGATGTTTTTCCCTGAATGAAAAGCCACAAAAATCTTCTAAGGCATCAGAACTACCATATGTCCCAAAGCAAATGGAAGAATGTGACCTTTTCTCACCGGCCACTTACATTCTATAGTGTATGAGATTTTAAGATAAACTAAAATAGAGAGGTATGGTCTAAACATAAATCTTATAGATTTATAAGTCCACGCTGTAAAATTTTGTTGTGATGTAGTCCCTTACAGAGACAATGCAAAGATTTCCTGCAATTCACTGTTGTGAAAAACCGAGTTAGCACTTCACATGCAAACAAAATCACACTGGCACTTAAGTACAGTACTGAATAAATGAAATTTGAATGCTTCCATTACAATGAAGCAAAAAACAACTTTACTAATACTGTTCACTAAAAAGTAACAAAATGTTAACTACATAACTATTTTTAAAGCGCATTTTATTCTTTCCTGCTTAAAAGAATATTAGAAGACATAGCTCAAACCAATGTCCATTTTTTGGACTCCCCAAACCTAATCCATGAGAAGTTTCCCTTTTACCTCAGCAAAGATGTTTGCATAAAAGTCATGACCATTGAAGTATAACCCACTGTGTAGAGATCAGAAGCCACTTGTACCCTACACAGATAGCTACAGTATATCCAGGTATCCTGACTACATCATGTAAATTTGGATTAGGCTATTATAGATTAATTCTTTGTTGTGGGCGGAGAATGATATGCAACACTGCTGTATTAACCCACAAATCAACAGTGGCCCTACCCCCCTCCAATGTGATGCCCACGTATCAAGACATGGCCAATGTCCCTTGGGGAAGAATTTCTACCTGTTAAGAGCTAAGGGGCGGGGGGGGGGGGGGGGGGGGAGGGTGCTGGGAAGGTGGCTCAATGGTAGAGTGCTTGCCTTGCATGCCTGAGGCCCTGGGTTCGATTCCTCGGCACCACATAAGCAAAAAGAAAAAAGGCAGAAGTGGCGCTGTGGCTCAAGTGGTAGAGCACTAGCCTTGAGCTGAAGAGCTGAGGGACAGCGCCCAGGCCCAGAGTTCAGGGCCCACGACCGGACCCAAAAAAAAAGAGCTACCGGGTTAGCCCAATATACTGTGTGATGGAAAACACTGACGACATGTAAGACTGTAGTGCGTGTATATATATTAAAAATTATAGTTGAGCACCTGAATAACACTGAGAAACCACTTGTAAAAATGAAGGAATGAAACAGGTAGATTTATCACCAAAGTACTTTGGCAGACAATGACAACTATGTATCATGGTCCTATGGCTCGTTCACTAAACCCGGATTTGCCTATCACATCAAACAGTTGTCTCATTCCACCAGAACCATCTCTCAAGACACCAGAGATGAAGGCACTCCGAAAACCGTCTGCCCTATTGGCTATTTTGTGGGAGATACCACAATGCCGAGGAGCCAGTAGTATTAATCAGGTTAGAACCAGAGTCCTGCTCACACTTATGCCTAGGGTCATGATACCCAACAGTGCAAGGACAGACAGAAGAATCTGCTACATTTCCTCAATCAGGAAACGTCTTCCCTGATACTTGTACTCTATGTCATCAAATTAAAAGAAAAAAAAAATGGACAGGACACTGCCAAAGGGGATGGGGGCTTGTGAGTTTCCATCTTCCAGGCAAGAGGAGTGGCTGGCACGTGGCAAGTACACGAGTGCACTTACCATCGGGGTCCTGCAGAGTCCTGCATGGCGCTACTGCCAGCTGGCTGCTCCACTTGGTCTAGACAAGAAAGATACAGGAATGAAACACAGGAAGTGAAATGGCAATGAAAACAAAGAACAGCATGAAGGACAGGACAAACGACGTTATGTACAGAAGGAAAGGCAATGGGGAAGGAAGGAAAGCAGCAGTTATCTACCACAGCAAGACCTCCACACAAAATCCCTGCATACTTAGCTGCTGATGCCAAGATCAATGAAGCAGATTCAATCTCAGGCGGATCAGCATTCATATTTAATCTGATGCCCATACTACTGTGGACCACTCTGTTAGAAGACCTCAAAGTTCCAATTTATCCTCCTCTCCTTTCACAGAGTAAACACTCCTGGACTAGAGAGGAGAGTGACCTGCCTGAGGTCCCTTGACTGTCATTAGCTCAGGGGCCACAATTAAAACTCAAAGACAGTAACACCAGAAGTGCTCTTTCTGCTACAGTTATTTCTTAAGAGCAACAATGGCAATAAGCATACTTTTATTCTTTAGCGAACACACTTTACACCTATTGTTTCACTTGGCAAACAAAAAACAAAGTCATAAAAACTGAACACAGTTCAGTGGCTCAGGTTTATAATCCCAACTACTTAGGAGGTGATCAGGAAGATATGGCTGCAGGCCAACACTGACAAACAAGGTAGCAAGAAACATCTAAACTAACAAACAAGCTAGGTATATTAGTACACATCTATAATCCCAGCTACACAAGAGGCATAAGTAGGAGGTTCACAGTCTTGGCAAGTCCCAGGCAAAAACACAAGACCCTAAGTGAAAATGACTAAAGCAATGAGGGTTGTGGCATGGCTCAAGGGGTAGCTAGAGAGCCTGCCTACAAAGTGTGCAACCCCAAAGTTAAATCTTAGTACAGATAAATAAAACTGTAAATAAGTTATATAACAACTTCTACTGCATTTGTAAAGGAACACAATCAAATTGTAATTCAGTTTTTTCCTTTTCAGTTTTTGACTTTAACAAGATCCGTCAAGCCCAGAAGCCTGATCTGAAAGGTCTGCCTGGCACTGAACAATCTCAGTGTGTGAGCTTTTACTCTGTAGTAAAGTAAAAGCCATACCAGTGCTTCGACATCCTTAGACAATGGACAGTCAGCTTTACACTGGGAGTTGCAAAATCAAAACTGCCTAAAGCAGCACATGAGTAATTTAACCCAGTCTGGACTATGTTCTACTATGCTAATAAACTAGACAAATACAAGGAAATTCTAGAGAATAATGTTTCATTTAAAAAAAATGCTCAGGCAGCAAAGAGGATGCAGAATTCCAGAAGGTTTGCTCAAGTTACATTAAAAATTCATCACAGCAGTAAAGGCTCATGCATTTAGCAATTTCAATAATAGATGTGTAGGTGTGCTGTATCCTTAGTCATAAGCTAACAGCAGTATAAAAATCAACTGAACTCCAGAGCCCAGAAGCCAGGCCACCAGTCTTTCTTGAGCTTTCCCCTCTTATTTACATTCACAGTTGATTCCAAATCAGTCAAGACCGAATTAAGAGTTCCACAGTTGTGGCATGGAAGGTCACTGAAGGACAGGACAACCCTGGACAGAATCAACTCCCTAAAGGTGACCTGCTCCTACTACCTCCTTCCTGTCCTCACCACCCACCCAGCCCTTCCTCCCCACAACTCGACTTCCATGCTCACCATTCCAGTGCAAGTCTACCAACTTCAGAATGCCAAGTCTAGGTGCCTGGGTTTCTCCTTGCTATGTTGATAGTGTGACATACCGACCTATCTTCTCTTTCCTACAATTCTCCCCAGCCCTGTGATGCTGCCCTGAAGCTTGGCACAAACTTTCTTTTCTTCCTGCCCTTAGCAGGAGGGCCCTGGTGGCCCATCTGAGGGCTGGAACCATGCTTTCACACTAGGCTTTAATGAACGAAAACAGCTATACTAAGGGTAGAAAGGCTTAGGGAACACACAGATATGAGATCATGAGGTGAGAGAGAAAAGAAACAGAAGGCCATGGAGTAGGGGAGACTTGAAGATCATCCTGGTCAGCTTCCCAAAGCTCATAAACACAGCTCTGAGACTTCATGTGATTCCATGACCCACCTCAAACCTCCCACCCAGTCAGCAGTGACACAGACTTCAACTCCCATCCAAATCTACCACTCTGACCTTTGTGTTCCAGTAGGACTGGTAGTGACACATTCTGGGTTGTAATTTCACTCCTAAAAAACAACCTAACAATGTCATCTGCCTCTCTGGCAAACGTGATAAATTCACTAAAGCTTCAAGTTCATCATATTATCTTTTCACATTTCTGAGAGAAATGACAGTAGGTCGCTAGCATTCAGGGCATCTGGTTTACAGGGTTTGAGTTGCAAAAGGACAAGGAAGACAAGCTAACGTCTATGCTAAATGATCCCTTTTGTTTTAAAAAGCTGAAATCCCCATTTGAATATGTTGGTAAGGAGGAGAATTGATGTGGCATTAAAAATGGTCAGTTGATGCTTTATAAGAACCAGTCAATGGGTGGGCAGGGGTTGGACTGCAGCATCGTTTTACATGTGGTAGGTGTGCAGGAACCAAGGCTCTATCTAGTTCAATGTCTGCATCCAAAGGGCTTTGGGAGAAGTCAACAGGGTCACACAGGGGATGTGGCAATAGGGTAACTAGTGTCCAAAGGGAGATCAAGGGCGCCAGGGTGGGGCCCTGTTGGTCCAAGCTGGGAGATGCTGCATGTTGTGTGATGTTTTTCACTTAAAACAACTCTGACGTTCACCTGGCGGTAAGAAAATTCTGCTAAGCTCCCTTGGCAAAATCATACATCTTTTCCTGTAGTTAAACTTACCAAGAGTAGTGCTGTCTGTAATCCTGGAGGTGAATTATAAAAATAAAGTCTCCTTGGTTTTAAGTTGCTTGTGGTATTAAAACAGGGCTGGAGACTTTGCTTCCAACAGAAACAATGGAAAAGTTCTGCAGATTGCAGTAAATTCCTGACATAGCTGCTCCCTACCAGGGGGTGGTCGAGGAGCCTGGCTGTGGGCTCCCTCACTCTTCCAAAGGGCAGGCTGGTAGGAGTTGGCAACAGTCACATCTGAAGGGAGTCATGCTTTTAATTTTTCTTTAAAAAAAAAAAGACTTTATAGTGGCTCCCCAAATACACTTTAACAAACTTAAGGTTTCCTACATTCTTTGAAATCTCAAAGACTTAATTGTCACTAATACTTAAACATGCTGCTAACCTGTTCTATTTTATAATTTAATTTCTGCTCATGGTTTTTTTGTAGGCTTTATCTGTGTCAGTCCCTCCAGGCCACATTAGGGGGGTGTAGTGGGGGGCGGGGGGAAGGGGGGGTTTAAGGACCCAAGGCAGAGGCATGCACTCTGAGTGCCTGATAGCCCCACCTGGAGATCAAGAACCAACCCGTTCCCACCTGAAAACAAAGTCCTTTCCTTTCAAAGCCCAGGAACTATACCATTATATAACATTATAACACTATAATCTCTTGAGTTCACTACCAAATTCAATTTAAAATATTTTTAGGAATAAAAATGTATAAGTAAATTTGAGACAAAATTTAACTTAAAACACAAAATACTTTAACATTGTTTATAGAAATGCACACAGAAGCAAGCATCACACCATCATTAACCAACAGAAAATCAATGTAAAATGCATCCACAGATGGAGAGTCAAAGAGAATGGGTGGTGGCAGGCCCGTAGCCCCAGGGCTGTGATCACTAGAGGTGGGCTTTCTTGGCTGACTGTACTAAGATGAATATAACAAAAGATTATTTTTCAAAAAAAAAAAAAAATGACATCAGAAGCAAAATTAATGAGAAAACTGAAAATATTTTTCTGGTTGAGATTAACACACAATTTTACAAAAGCACAATCTGGAAAAGGTCTCTGCTCAGCTGTGCCTCTACCACAGCAGAACTGTTTCTCTGTCCTCCACCTCCTTCTTGTACAATTGTTCACAAGTCCACTATTCTCAAATCCACAACCATTACACATTCAAATGGAATTTAAAATATTCTTAACTGGTACTAAATAGCCAGAATTGTTTCTTCATTTGATTGAGTGATGCTAACCTTTAGTGTATATCTTCCGAGTCTTTTCTGTGTGTATCACATGACTTCAAACAAAAAACTAACATCTCCTTCTTCCAAACAGCCACACCCTTATTCATCTTCTTGTTTTACTGAAGTCTGTCATGACATCTGCTACTATGTAAATAAAAATCCAAACAATTATCTGTCAGTATTAACCTGAGGGTCAAGGTGCTCACAGTCAAGGGGGAGCGTAATGATAATATTATCTACTTTTATTTTGCATCTAGCTTAAGACTACCCATTTGAGTATATTCATTTTGCTAGAAGTTTCTAAGCACCTGAGCATTGAAAGACCTAACCTCTTGGCCCTACCATGAAGCCCTACCACCTATTCAGGTGCAACTGCAATTCTGTACAATTTATTTTCACATCAGATATGTACTATGGCCACGTCTTAACAAAGTTTGAAAGAAGCACATGCCACACAAGCCCGTAAAGACCCCATCATCATGCTTATGAACTGGAAAAGGATCTGTTCCACCTTTTTTTGCCAGGCAATCTAATCCTCCCTCTGGCAGCTCTCTCCTGCCATGCAGCACCCTCCACACCTGCTGCTATGCCCTTATCTGAAATTAAGGACCAGGACAGACATGGTGGCTCATACCCATAATCTTAGCTACTCTCAGAAGTGAAAAGTCTAAGGCTAGGGAGGCCCCATCTCAACCAACAAGCCATGTGTGGTAGCTCCCATCTGCAATCCTAACTAGGCAGGTGGAATGGGTAGGAAGAATGGTCAGGGCCAGCCCAGGCAAAAATAAGATCCCATCTGCAAAACAAAAAGTAGATCTAAAGAAAAACTTAAAAAATGCTTGAGAGCATAGCACAGATGGCAGAACACATGCCTGGCAGGCTCACAGCCCTAAGTTCAACCCCAGTATTACAAAAAGTAAAATAAACAAAAACTTTAAAAAGTTGTGGGTGGGGATAGGAGGAAAATAATGGGAGGCAGAGAGGGAGAGGTGACACTCTCCAAAAAGAAATGTACTCTTCACCTGTCACCTCTCTGTACATCACCTTTATAATAACAATAAAAACATTTAAAAAAAATTACTTCAATTATCAGGACCGGGTTTTAGAATTCGAGTTTATCCTACGTGAGTGCCCACAGGTAGGGAAAAGTATCTCTCTCAATCTAGTCCCTTATTTCACCTGTCCCCAGAAGTCTCCCATGCTCAAACTCAGAAAATTCATACTCTTCATTTTCAAAGAGCCAGCCCCAGCCAGGTACTGGTGGCTCACCCCTGTAATTCCAACTACTCAAGGAGGCTAAGATCTGAGGATCACAGTGCAAAACCAGCCCAGGGAGTGAAGTCCACGGGACTCTTACCTCCAATTAACCACCAGAAAACACAAAGTGGAGCTGTACCTCAAAGTGGTAGAGCACTAGCCTTGAGCAAAAGAACTCAGGGACAGCGCCCAGGCCCCAGTTCAAGCCCCATGACTAATAACAACAACAAAAGATTTAGCCTCAATCAAGGGGAGAACACTAGTCTACTCTTGCATTCCTTCCCCCAGTATTAGGGTGGTACTCTGAATAAAATAGGTCCTCAACAACAGAAACCCGCAGGACTGAAATGGCATGAAACTGCTGCATGGCCCTGTGCCTGGATCTGAGTACTGACAAATATTCCGGTTCAAGACAGATAGGAAGCTGCCATGGCCCATTCTGGTACTATGCACACACCTGACCAGATTCTGTCGCTGAGGAGTTAAGACAATGCACATAAAGAGTGGCACAGTGTCTGGCACAAACTCAATAATGCAATCCATGTTAAGCAGTACCTACTGTAGATTTTACTGCGCAAGTTGCAGAATCCCCATGCCTGCAAGTATAAATTGTCAGCAGATGTTACTTCTTATGAATACAATGCCATTCTGCTTCTGCTAACAGTTCCTAAGTCAGCCATTTGTTTCATTTGTCTTACCACCCCCAGATTCCTCTCCCCACAACACTCTGGATATTACAAGTCCATCAAAGACAAAGGAAGAAGAAATGACAATCCTGTTACTCCTTCCTTACGTCCCCACCCGTACTGATGCTTTAACAGTGTCGGTTGCAACTATATTTCCATATTTTAAGTCTATAAGCCTCTGATTTTACACCTTTAACCAACTGTTTCCATTTAATTTTAGGACCCTTGGGAGAATTGGGCACCTAAACCCTCTCTCCAGACCGCATGTAGCCAAAGATGAAGGCTGCCTGGGACTAGGGAGGTTGTGCGGTTCTCAAGCACTGTTTAAGGAATAGAAGAAGCCAACCCTTGTGCTGCCTGGGAGTCCCAACTTCTCACAATGCTAAATAAAGATGTGGCCCAAATCATCACAGCTGCTTCTCTAAAACTGGTATTGCCAACTTAATACCTTCTTTAAAAAAAACACACACAAAAAAACAGTTCTTTCACACTTCATTTTTTTCCCCCTAATTTCAAATCCAGAAAGATGGCAAAGAAATCTGTCATGTTACCAGGAATGCTTATATTAAGTAACAGGAGAATGCATGAAGTTCATTAAGTTTCTACAATTATGGTATTTATCATGTAAAAATTTATACACACACAACTTAAAAATACTTGTTTACTTTTCTTATTGTTGTTCTGGGCCTGGGACTTGAACTCATGGCCTGGGCACTGTCCCTGAGCTCTTCACCTCAATGCGAGCACTCTACCACTTGAGCCACAGTGCCACTTCCAGTTTTCTGGTAGTTAACTGGCGATAAGAGTTTCACAGACTTTCCTGCCCGAGCTGGCTTTGAACTGCGATCCTCAGATCTCAGCCTCCTGAGTAGCTAGGATTACAGGCCTGAGCCACCCATGTCTGGCTTACCTACTCTTTATTTCTCTTAAAGAATTTACTAATGTATTTGACACTTTTTTTTGTCCTCCCTAGCTATAACTACTATTTTGAATTTTACTAAATGCTACCTTTTACTATTTATTGTTTTTATCTTGTATTTCAGTTTTGTATACTTTTACTGTCTGTTTCATCTGGAGTTCATTGAACTTCTTTGAGGGTTCACAGTCTTAATAAAGTTTAATACAAATTTTTTTTAAAAAGACATATGTCACACACCCCTGTAATTGCTTCCAAACAGTTACTTTCATGGCTGTCAGATGCTACCTAAGAAAATAACACTTCCGTTGAATTAGGTGTGGAATGATCCACATAAAAGTAAGGTAAAGCAGAAAATAAGCCCCTTTTTCAGGCAAGAAGCCAATGGTGAGATATGCTCACTTCTAACCTGGCACATCAACAAACTGAATTCCAAGAGTCATTTGTCCAGCTTTTGTACGCGCAGGTGTCCTAGTTTGGGTAACAAGCAAAACAAACCAGCTTTGAAGAGAGAAGCAAGCCTCTGCATAGGGGGAAGAAAGTGTGTGTGCATGCACGCATGCGTGTGCACATGCGTGAGCACACACTTATACATGCATACTTAAACTCGAGGTGTGTGTGAATGTGTGTGATTAAACTCCAGGCTTCAATTCTTGCTCTTGCTGGCTTTTTTTTGCCACAGTAGGAAATTCTTTAGTGCCATGATGTGCAACTAGTTACAAGCCTCCCAAAAAAAACTTTACAAATCTACATAAGTCTGTATTACAAAAACAAAATATATGGACTTTAATAAAAATGTTAGAAAACATTTAAACTGTTCATCTTTTCCTAAATGTGCTGATAAACTCAAGGACAGACTGTTACCACAGAGAGAATTTTGCTGGTGCCTCCCATGAGAATGGTTGATGGGCTACAAAGCAAATCCACAGGATAGGTTGTGTTACCCCATTTTGCAGACAGGTAGACTAATGACCAAAAGATGTAATCTGTCCAAAGTCAAAATGGTAGAACTGGGATTTGACAATGGCCTCTTAATTGCAAGACTGCTTTCTGGCACACTATAATAAATTCCACATTTTGTACACTCAAGATATGGATGAGTCTGCAGTTTTCCTTTTCTCTCCACCAAACACACATACATTTTAGATAATTTTAAAGAAGCTATCAACTTTTGCAGGAGTAATTTGCAGGCAATGCACAAGAAACAGTAGTGTATTTCTACTCAGCGGAGAAAAATGAAAGGGAAGACAATTCCACATACTATTTACATGATGTTCACAGCCCAGTCTTTCTAAAACAGTAAGTAAGCACTGTTTTTCATTTGGCAGTTTCTATATTCTACTGCAACCACGAATTTATCTTAGCATACACAGTAGTAATTCATATTATTTTCAATCTGCTAAATTTAGTTTTGATAGAATCAGAACTATAATAGGTATTTATTAAGCCTAATGCTCAAATTCGATCATATTATCAAATATGTCTATGGTCCACCTAAACAAAGAAAAATATTCCCTATAATAATTCATTTAGCAGTTACAGGCAAGTAAATTCAGAACCCTAGGTCCCTTATTCAAAAAAACAAAAAACAACCAACACTGCAACTAAGCACAATCTGATTTACTTATCTGGATGTCAGTGAAAGGGATCTATAAACTTCAACTTCACAGTTAATCCTATCAAAAGTACACCCCTTCATGTGGGAGCAAACAGGGCAACTTCCACATGTGGAAGACTTGGCACAGTGACCATTACTCCACGGGCTGTCTGCAGCACAAACCTGGACCTGGGATTTCCCCACCCTTAGGGCCATAAGAGAAGGAATCAAGGCAAGAGGTAGAGAACAGTGAGCCATCCACTGTTCCTCTGGCTAGACCCTGGACATTCTGCTTAAAGCCAGTGGTCACTTCATCCCACAAAGAACCAGGCTCTGGTAATCCCACAGATTAAACTCAAAACTATGGGCAACAGACCAAGAAAGACATTTTCTGCAATTCAAACTGATTAGAGAAGGAAAACTGAACCTGAGAAGCCAACAGTAGAAACAACAGAAGTATAGAAGTTGTACTGTTGTCCATTCTAAACCATACTGTAACTTCAAACATTGCACATAAATTCCATTTTGAGACTTAAACATGGGTGAGCAAACCAGTTTGCCTTCATTTTTGTGGGCATGTGATGTTTCAGGAAACTTACAAAAGACTGCACCAAGAGGTAGATTAGAAGCACAAGAGAAAAAGATTGTTTATCACTATAGCTTAGATGGAAAAAAGGGAAGGAGGGAGATTTTTGTCTAAGAGTTATTTTTATTTTTAGCCAAAGCATAGACAACCCCTTGCAGCTACTGGGCTGCAGAAACTGGCCTTTGATCATTCAGTAAACCAAAAACATAAAAACCAAAAACATAAAATTTCAGGTTTTTAAAGCATCAGATGAGCAATAATTATACATATCACTATTTTTGGAAAGTGTAGCATTTTTATGTATCATACATAGCATACTATTACTATTATAACAAATCTCTTGCCTCTGAAATTATCTGGGTTTGAACTCCTGGCTTTACTTCACTTGGCTTTGCTTGTTCGGTGGATGCCCTACCATCTAAACTATGTCTCTGTGAGAAAAGCATCTTTTCCATCAAAA